GAAGTTTAGATTCTCAATATGAGCTGACTTTTCCTTTAAAATGACATCACTAGCTACTTTTAGTCATAAGATGATTTGGCAATTTAGGCCCTGATCACAAAGGTATATAAAAAAATCTGGTATCAAACTTATTAAGCTTAAAGGCTGGAGATAAAGGATGATGGATGTTAAGGTTACTGATTCTGGCTTCCTGAAAGCACATTCAGAAGCTAAAATACAATAAATTTCTCTTTGTTCTTCCAGACTGTGGCGGTGATGATAATATCATTTATAAAAAGGTGTTTGAGGAAAAATATCAGGAGCCTCTCCCTGCTGATTGCCCTGAATCGCTGGGAGAGCTGATTACTGACTGCAGGGCTTATGAAAGCTCCGAGAGGCCGTCTGCTGGAGGTAAGGAGCAGCTAGCTTCATCAGCTCACTGCATCATTTGTTGTGTTGGTAAATCAGCTATTTTGGATCTAACTTTTACAGTGAAACAATTAAGGCAGAGCAGCTTCTCTCTTTGTTTTTGTCCTCTGCAGTGTTGGTGGATAAACTGCGAAGTGTGTTGGTACAGTTGGAGAAACGCTGATCGCCTTCATCTTTCCCACCGCCGTCACAATGTCTTCAGCTATCATATTCTGGGTTTTTTTTATGATCCTACACTACTTTGATCGTTTTCTTGTTTTTTTGGTTAATTTTCTACCTGTTGTGGAGGCATAGGATTCTTTAACATAAAGAGAGGAAAACTTTAGCAATTATCATTTCCAATTTTTCCATTGCATTATCAAGGTCAATTCCAGTTTACAAAACTCCAACCAGGGGAGGATTTCCCATCAGGCAATACTAGGCAGTTCCAAGTTCCTGGGGGCCCCATAAAACTCTGTTTCCATGTATGGTTAGTACAACTATTCCTTATTATGTTTTTGATTAAAGTCCTTTGGCTAAAATGCCATCAGAACGCTGATAATATTAAGTGTGTCTCAAAAAAACCTAGAACAAATAATGGATGTCTATTCTATTAACGTTTCTCTATCTGTATAATGGGTCTGTTTTATGTGTTGTCTTCTCCATTCAGAGGGGCCCCTTGCCTGTCTTTGCCTAGGGCCCCACATTTCCTAAATCCACCCCTGTCGCAGACATACTAACATGTCCTTAATAATTTTTTTTTTTTAACTTGAATTCAGTTGTTTAATCCATTAATATTCATCATTACTGCTGGTGTTGTTTATGCATTTAGCTCGATTGCCCTGCCACTGTGCTGCTAATACACAGAAACCGCCCCACTGAGGGACGGATCCAAGGTTATGCTGTTAATCCATTTAGTTATCATTACTTTAAGAAAGCATGTAGATCGGCTGCAGCTAGAAAAATAAGTACAATGAATGCAGTATTTTGGGTTGTGCTTATTAGAGCTTTATTTGAGAGTTCACTTTAACGATCGCCTTTAATGACGTCCACAAACAGCATACTGTAAAATCAACAAAAAAGTTACAGCACTTCTTCTTTACATTTATTGGCAGTTAGCCAGCAACAATAAGGCGGGGATTGCTTCTGAACTGGAAGGTAGAGAGAGGAACTTATTGCTGGTAGTTAGCTTGATTCTAAATAAAGAAAACTTTACTTTAAATCTAAGAATTCTGATTTTTTTTTTTTTTTTTTACAACACAAGTGACCATTACTTCACAAATACAACTGCAGAGGTGTAAAGTAACTGTATTTGTACTTTGTTACCTTCCTTAAGTAACTGAGAAACTAGTCCATGCATTTGTTACTTCAAGGCTGGACTATTGTAATTCTTTACTATCAGGAAGTCCACAAACTGTAGT